ATATATATATATATATACACAGTATATATAAGCGTGCATGCAGAAGGACAGAATAAAAGTGTATTATGCTTCAGAAGAAAACCCCCCATTAGTAATGTCACAGTGTGTGTTTTTCTTTTGACAGCTGATCAACATACCTGCAAGGACATCAGTGATTAACGTGTGGCCCAGAATTTGAATCAACAGACACCAGTGCATCGGCAGCTTTCTTCCCAATGGCCACAGCCTCATTTAAAACCACAAATGCAAAATGAAGGCAAATGAGATCTGTGCAAATCATTTGGTTCAAGTTCAGTTTTGGTGAACTTTGACACTTAAGCTTCTTTGACCAATTAGCAGTCTTGACGGTGCTGACCAATGAGGGAATGGAGAGCTGGAGAGTCCAAACCAGAAAGGCTATCATATTTACTGTGACGCACCATCTACCTTTATACAACCCTGCTCTTCTGGAGAATGAATCTCTTCGTAATGAGACCTGCTTTACAGAAATGAATGAATGAATACATTTGAAGATAATGCTGTGTTGGATGCGTGTCTGTCTAGGAAGTAGCACATTATTTAAATACATGCATGACTAGCAATGAGAGGCCTACAGCAAAGATCAAGTAACTGTGTAAGATTGTGTGGAAGTTTGCAGTTTATTAAATTAGCCACTTTTTATCAGCCAGACTATATTAGGTGTGATAATGCTAGGTCCATGCTGTAATGCTAAATTGTGAAAGCATGATTATGGTGTGAATCTTGTTGCTTCCAGAGAGTCTGTTATGTTTTGATACTTTTCAAGGACACAGGGCATATGGCTTCTATCTATTTCTTAATTCAAATAATGGCTTGTCCCAAATAGCTGTGAGTGTGGCTAGTGTGAACAATTACAGGCTGGGTTTTTCTTTTTTAACAGAAATACTTTTACTAATACTTTTACCAGTTAATTACTCTTTCAATTTTTTTCCACATCAATTTAAAGCTATTGTCAATTAACTTGACACTTCACATTGTTCACGGACAGTAAAAGGAAGGCTGGATGGCTTTGAACGTGAACACTCTGCAGAAAGTGTTTCATTCTCTTCATATCAATTCAGAAAATGTCAAACTGTAATCAATCAGACTACAATCAATGAGTGAATATCACAACCAGGTCTCACTCTGACTCGTCAAATACCGCCACTCGGTCAGTGGCCCTGTTACCAACACACGAGACACTCTTTACTCGGCATCAAGTACTCGGTTTAGACGTCCGGATTTGTTCAATGAAAAGAGTAAGTTTTGAAATAAATGTGCACTTCAAGCTATGCAATGTTAAACTTGCGTATTGTAGAACATCTAGTTCATTGAGCCAGATAACAGGTAACGCTAGCAGTGTTAGCATGCAGTTATGATGCCACCAGGTCAGAGAAGAATAGCCAGCTCATCACAAAAAAAGCTACCATCGCAGCGAACAACAGCTGTAAGGCTGTACCGAATAGTTCAAAGCTTCATTCATAATGTTGACATTCAAATTATTTTGAAGAATTTACAGAAACAATGATCCACTTCCCACCTTCTCTCTCTGTCTCACACAGCGAGCGATGCGACACTCAGTTCTCATCTCTAGAATTAATCATTTCGAAAATTGTTTTTATAAAAAAAAAAACAACTGTTGGCTCCACAGCTTTTCACACACAAAGCGAGGCGCAGTCTAACAATCTAACGGAACCATAAATTGTATAACCACAATAAAAATAAAAAAAAAAATCTAATTTTTACCATTTTATGGGGTGATGGCGTCATAAAATATGAAGACAGACATTTAAATCTTCATTCGAAAACCTCAATAGAAGCATTAAAGGTAAAAACTTAAAATGCCCGTCCCTGAGACGTCACAGACTTTCAATGGACTTCAATGTAAAGCTATCTGAATCATTATTAGACGAACCAAGGACTTTCCCTCAGGAGTCCACTTTTTGTGTCCTGTGTGGAAACTAAGGTAACGTTGACTTATTTTACTGTGGGTTTGTTAGGTAACTTATGTACTTTACTAACACCCGTTACGTTACAAATGGTTATTTTACATTACAAACGTACTTATTTAACACAAACTATGATCTTTTTCTGAACCTAACCGAGAAATTTGTTGCGGAAATTAACCTAAAAACTAAGTAAACCTATGTTGGAAGTTTATTTTGTAAAGAGATTTCATATAACAAGCATAAACTGTATGTTTTCTGTTAACACAAGTTTATTTCAAAAAGACACCATGCATGTAACGAGCAGAAACGGACACGCCATCTTTGCGTCCCGTCCATAACTGACACTACAAGGTTTCCTAGAGCGTCGGTTTGAAATGTAGGGCCACTGATCAAGCATCGGTATTTGATGAGTTGTGAATGAGAATGTTTTGCATAAAAACAGTATTTCTGTTAAAAAGAAACGCTCTTGCAGACACAGTGCAGCATACTGGTGAGTAGAACATGACTTTGTTGTTGACTTTGACCTTGTATTGATGGAATTGCTGCTGTGAAAATGCACTTGCTGACTGGATATGGACTTATGAATATCAAGACAACACAAGTTTGAATTTGTTTAAACTGGAAAACAGAGGAAACTAGGCATAGAGCCTGTTCTAGGCCTGGTTCTCCCGACCACTGAGGTAAATAAAGGCCACTATTTGAGAATTTACAGTATTAATGATTTATTAAATAACATTACGGACAGCAACTTTAAATGATCTTTTTAACCGAAGTTGCCATAATGCAAGGTTCTGTAGATTCTGTTCATAGGAGGACATCATGTATCTATGTTGTTTTAGAAAACATTCCTCATCCTTTTCTCAAGCAGCTCAAATGTGTTGACTTCCACACGCAGTTCAGCCAGAACAGGTGGGCAGGGAAAGTCCTAAGTATGTACTTCTGTAGCTGCATCAATGCAAACAAGGACCATAGATCGGACCAACCAGTCTACCCGGACGTCAAACAAAAAACAGCTTCTTGACATACCACACAATTACCCAATATAATACCAACTTGTACAAGGTCTGTTAATAAATATTCTACACAGTATCATGGACGAACAGTAAATAGAAAGGAGACTTTAAATAGCGGACACATAAATTAAGAAAGAATTGTATCCAAAATAAACCAGCAAAGCGTACTTGTTGCCCAGCACCCTTCTACGACCTAAAAAGTGCTTTTTGACACATCTCTCTACTGAATAAGGCTGTCGGCTAAAAAAAAATCTCTCTCACACAATGCGCTTGCAACCACAGATCAAGAACAACTTTGGTTTGCTCCAGTACAACTTCTAAAAGGACAAAGAACAGTGAAGACAGAATGCGGGACATTCACATGGAAATATCTGGACTGTATTTGTTAAATTACTGTTTTTTTCTTCTGTGTTCCTTTTTTTTTTTACAACAAAATAGATCCTCTGAAGGGTTAACCTGCGTAGCTGCTTTCCTGTTAATCATAATCGTCATATTCTGGATCCATGTTCTCACCCTGGTAGTACGTTCCCTGTGTGGAGTAGGACCGTGTCTTCATTGAACAGTTGGTGTCCATCAAAATAGCCTGAAAAGACAATTGTAGGAAAGTATTGTTTCTGCCACGTGCCAAAGTTTGTTAAAAAACAAAATACATTTTGTTACTTAGTAAAACACAGAAACCCCGCCCCCCCCCCTTTTTCCCTTCAATTTATGTTCCCTATTTGAGGAGGTTCTGGGTTTTAGGTTGACTTATCTAGATACTGCTATAACCCTTTTATGTGTGACAAGGTTCATTCAGGGTAAACCGGTCAAATAACAAGTTATAACCGATCAGTGTGATGTGTTTAAGGGTTTGGTAGTTATTTTGGCACAGCTTGGTACTGCTAGGGTCACCAAGAGATGGGCCGTGTAATAGCAGTTTGACAATCATTCCATGTAATGGCTGTATTATAACAAATTGCGTATTGGATTCCAAGATGGAGCCAGATTCAGTCCTATGAACGCCATTGCTGTAAAATTATTATTAGCTGCAAAATGAGAAACGCTAGTAAGAATCAGATTAGCAATATGGCCAAATCAGCTGTATTTTATTCTTTGTACGATATGAACAAAGGTGCTTTACATGCTGCACTTTGCACTGTTGCCTGCAAGAAAATAGAGCCCACAGATTGAAATTGTCTAATTTCTCCACTAAAATCTATGTCATCAGTCATTCTAAGATTAATAAACATGTAAACATTCTACACATAGGGGCTTTATGCACAGCATGTTTTCTTTGACATCTGAAAAAGTGGCACAAAAGAAATCTTGGCCCTGCCTTTTATAATTATACATGTTGTAAATTGTTTTTGGCTATTTCGTTAAATACAATTTTGATGCCCAATCCACTTAATAAGGTCAGAATCTGTAGGAATGGAATTGAGTAAAAAGAGGCAAATACTGATGGAGGTAAATAGCAGTGAATATGAATATGAGGTGGTGAATACAAGCAGAATGTAATGGCAGAGAGAGGTGATGAATGATAGCAGATGCTGCATGGAGATGAACAAACGGATAGGAAGGCAGAGGGATGGAGCTGCAGCATCAGGGGGTTCAGTCACAAGCATGCAGGATGGAGATTTCAGCCAACTGGTGTCCAATACTGGTTAGGATATTCAGTTGTTCTGCAATCTCTAAAGAATGTAAACATGAGAGAGTCTGTGTTTCTGGAAAGCCCTAAATAGAAACGTCAACATGCATTCATGCATATCAGACAAATTGGCAATTACTTTATAACAGCATTGTTATGAGATACACAGGTAAACCTTCATCTACTCACGAGTTCCAAAAGGTTTTAAATATAGCTTCAAAGGAGCTAAATTAACACAAAATGGCAAACTTACATTTGACTTTATTGAAGATATTTAAGAAAGAACTCATTTCCAAAATAATTCCATTGAAGGTTTTTCAGAATTGTTCAATATCGACATTATTGTCTGGTGATGGGGTTGGTAAATTTAATTGGAATTTGCCTATTGGGCTTTGAAAAAACAAGCATTCTTTTTTTCATGATTGAAAAAGTTGATATAGTTTCAATCTAGAAACTGTTTATCCTTCTTTCCTTTTCTTTTCTCTTTAAATGTGGGTTGGGCTGTGAGGAGCCTGGAACAGTGTCTCTTCATTTGTTTCGTGACTTTTAGCCACGATGCAGTTATGAAATAATAATGCAATATCTAGCAACACAGCTTATATAATAAACTATTAATAAAAGATTGGACATTTTGGTCAATCCTTCAGTGTCCCATGTCCTACGTCAGACTTTGACATCTGTGTCAGTTGTTTTTTTTGATAGTTTTAATTTGGCACGTTAAAACTTTGCCATTTGATGTGTGAATGAGTATACAATAGGTAACAAGGACACTTACTGTCTTCCAGCACAGGGATATGCCATTTACTGTATGCAGAATTACTTTGATTTTATTATGCACCTGTTTGAGGTTTGGCTATAGAACTGCATGTCAGAGCAACGCCGTTGAGACTTAAAAGGCAATGCAAGAATAAATAGTCTCGGGAGTTGTATAACTTGTTATCTATCCAAAAACTACCAATGCATCCAAACTAGAAAATTCTCATAATGATGTTTGTTGACCTAGCTTCAATATTTGTTTGTGTTTATGTAGGATTTGATTGAGTGTTTTGTATCTTACAATTTTCTCTTCTTGTCCCGGTGGATTCCTGAGAAAGATGCAGAGAGGAGCAAAGCTAATATCCACTATCCCAATTATGGTCATCAGCCAGGGGAAGCCAATACTCTCAGCTATGGCTCCCCCGATAGATGGACCTACATGAGTCGGGGACAGATCACACACTAGTTTAGTTTGGTTTGTTTGGCTGAGGGCAGCACTTTTTCACCCCGACCAGTCAAATACTGCAGCGTGGTCAGTGCTCATAAGCTTCAAACTACCTAACCTTTATACCATTAGCTTTGCATGCGTCAGTGACGGCGTATCAATATGCGTTCATGGCCTACATGCATCCTTTCTTTTTAAAATAACCTTCCGTCTTCACAGGAACAAAACCACTTAGTTAGGTTTAGGAAAAGAGTGTGCTGACACAACTCACTACCAAGTAACTGACGAGTCACGTGACAAGCGACTCACGTTACAGCTAACGTGACATGTCAACTTTTACTTTTAGTTTAACGCAAGACACAAACAGTTGTCTCCTGAATGAAAGTTCTCCACCAAGGAACACTGACCAGGCTGCGTCATGTGATTCATTGGGAGTGAGAACGACATGGAAATTTGAGTTGCAACTCTGTAGACATATTTGTAACATCAGGTTAATTTAGCATACATGATATAGAGGTAGTAACCTCGTCATATCTTGCGTACCGATAAAAATATTGGGATGTCATGAAATGCCAGTAATAACATGGTAATAATGCGGTAATAGGTTAATCTGCTGATAATAAAAGGTTACATATCAGGATTAACAAAAATGGCATGATTCAATTTTTACATTGTTAGCAGTTGGGGTAATATGGACGTGGGGTAATATTTTGTTAAACAACTGATTAATAGTGGGGTAATAATACAAAATCGAAATTATTATTTACAGGGGAAAAAATTCTTCCCCCTCATCATCTGAGTCAAGTACCACAACCGTGGCTAAGAAACAAATGCCGAAAAAATATATCTGTTCTCACTTCCAATGCCTCAAATTGTTTCCTAAACCTAAATGAAGTTCTGTTCCAGAGCACACAACTTTGAGAACTACCCTTGACAAAATTCCTCTATTAGGAACACCCTGCAATGTCATTAACGCAGACATATTTATTGAATGTCTGGTTTTAAATCAGAAATGTCTTGTCTTAATGTTTTTATACATGTTTTACCTTGTTGCTGCTGAACTGACTGATGAGTCGCCAGCCTAATGTCGTATCATAAACATCCTTATCCTTATCACTTCCTCCATCTGTTACCCTTGTAGCTCGGATCCCTGTTGCTGTAACTGTGGAAAAATACACTACTGAAATAAAATATTGAATATATATAGAAAATTGATAAATTGGTAGTTTCCTTGCCCCTCAATTAATAGTTGTATTGGATATCAATAGCAACATCGCTAACTGCAATACTCAGACATGTCTCCAGAGCAAAATGCCGGCTGCAGCGCGAGCGCTTACTCAACTGTTGGTTAGGTTAGTTTCTAGCCACAGCAGCCACCATAAACAGACAACTAATGCAGGCATTTGTTGTAATAGTGAAGTTACATAGAGCCGTAACTTCATTATTGGTTTTGCTAGCTTAGACCTATGCTAGCGCAATGACTGATGGGTTGAACATGTGTCGAAGTAAAAGGCCGTTATTCAGTCCTTTCCTAGATGGTTCACAGTTTCCTGTGAACTGACCATTTTTGCTTCCTATGGTTTAGAACCTTATTTAACATGGCTGGATACCGTTTGCAATCCACTTTGCAGGGTACTATTGAGCGATCCGAACGCATCCTAAGTGGTTTTATTGCCCAAATCTAACCTCCTGTGAAGACGCATGTTTATTTTGAAAAGTCACTATAGCATATATATCCCTGACACATCCACAAGTGATGCAAGAGGGGGATGTAAAGCATCACAATGTGAAGCTTAGGAGCCCTAACCACGCTGCAGTATATGATGCATTGGGATGAGAACGTGTTACAAAAAACATATGGTATGTTAGTTTAAATTCAATAACTATAAAATCAGGGCTGGAAAATGCTTTTCTTCTTACTAACCTGGAAACACATGGTTATTGTAATACCGATAACGTACCACAATGACACCAGAATTTCATTTGGACAAACAAGATGATCCAAAGATTTCCAGTAATTGGACTCTCTGTGTCTGTTTTCAAATTCACTTTGGAGGTATCATAACCTGTAGATTAGAAGTCAATAATAATGCTAAGGTTTTTAGGTTCCTACTTACCTAAAGCAAATCCCATGCAGAAAGCCACATCAGCAATGGCATACACACTTCCATAAACAGACACATGTCGCAGGTCCACCAGGTAGCCCATGATAGGCATCATAGAGGAGTCCACCATGCCTTTAACACACCACAAACAATAAAAGTCTCACACACTCGAAGCAGGACACATTTGTTTAGCGTAATGTTACATTTAGCAGACCTACCAATAGCAAAACCAACACCAAAGTTTGGAACAATCAGACCGTAGATGTCTTTGGCAAGTGGAACCTAGAACACAGACAAATATTTAAAAATATATTCCTTTGTATTACATGTAAGAGTAAACAACTAACTCTTCCATTGGAGAAGAGATGCTGGATGCTTGATTTTAGCGTTATACTCATTGTTAACTCAGACTCCCATTGGCAGAATGATATTTGGAAATGAATGAGATAGAATATCTTGATGATTCGGACATTCTGGTTGTTTTTACCCTAGAAACACTAAGGCCAAAACACTGGTTCCAACACACTCAATGCTACACTTGAAAATCCACATTTAGAGGATCTACTGTTGTGTTTCTACTGGCTGAGGAAATATTTTTGAATGTATATATAGTATTATTATTACACAACCTACAAATCCTTCAGAATTTGGTTATTTTCAACTGCAACATTTCTGCTCCATTTAAATTTTTTAGTAACCCACCAGTGCTGAAATATCCCACAGGTGATATGTGAACTCACACTTATGCTGCAGTTGTCTGCCTCATACTTACACATATCACACTGATTCCAACCATGGTTATTCCAATGAGAGCACAAAGCCATCTGTAAGAAAGAGAGGACAACATCAATAGTCTCCGTTTAAAGTTAGACGGGGATCCTCCGTTTCTCACTCTTACATTCATCAGTCTAAACCTGAACATTGATCTCCTCAGTTTGCTTTTGTCCCTGTCTTACTTTGCATCATTTCTTGGGTCGTATATGTGTCCATGTACTTGTCTGCACTTGTTTTGTACGCACTTTCCTACACAATAAAAAAGACAGGGATGCGAGTTTGTTTTACATGCATATAACACATAGGTATCTAAATAGTATTATATTTGACCTGTTATGTTTTGCACACCAACTCATTATAAAATACTGCAAAGCACTTGTTTATTTCTTTTTTTAAGTGAACAAAGTTATGTAAAGTCTCCCCAACCAATATCAACAATATATTATATCATTATATCATTCCAAACATTTCCCCTTTTCTTTCAGGTAATAAAGCCAAAATTCTACTTCAAATGCTGAGATTTCTTATATGGAAACACGTATGGTGCTTTTTGTAGAAGAGCCAAAAGCAGTGCACTTAGTCCTTTGTTTGTGGTGAAGCATTACCAAGAAAACCTCACAATTTCCTACATTTTGTGATGTAGTCCTTAATGTACCTCCAGAGGGCTGTGGGGAAAAGGCTTATTTATAACATTAGGTAGTATTAAGTATTAAGTATATTACAATTAGGTGGTTGAAACCTGACCCTCCATCATACAACATTTGCAAAAACTTTGTGGAACAAATCATATATCCATAAAGGATCTAAAAACCCACATTTATAAAGTATAATAAATGAACTGCTATTATGGAAATGTAGTTATTAATTATATTTCATAGTCTTTGAAACTATTCACATACAATCCATTCATACATTCTCACTTTCTCATACACACATAACTCCCCTGATGCTGTATGTAACCTGTATTATCAAGGTCTCAATAAAGCCAGCCTCACAAACACAAAAAACCCTGAAAACTCATTTAGAAGAGCGGAAACAGATATCACATCCAGAGAGAGGGAGAGAAAGAGAGAGGAGACAGAGCACAGATAAGGATTATTTCTCTCCCTACCTCCCCATCTTGTGTGCCAACGTGCTGAAGATGTAGGTTCCAATAAGGTAGGAGATGGACGCTGGTAAGAAAGCGACGCCTGGGCCACACACACACACACACACACGCACACACACACACACACACACACATCACAGATAAGAGAGATGAAGGTGTGGGCAGGCTCTCCAAGATAAGCAGATCTCTATCAGTGCCTCATCACTGAGCTGCTGTACATCTTCCATTGTCTGTAATGAAGACTTGTGCTTTCCACCTGCCAGCACATGGCAACCTAATATCCTGTCCCCCCCCCCCTCATGCTTTTTTATCTGACCTAGACTTCATATACAACCAACTGGAACAAACCAATAACAGTAGAGACTGCAGGGAGCCTCTGTATAGAATATATCTAGCAGGATAAACAGTGACACTTTTGCGCTGCGTCAAGAATCAAAGTAAAACATGAATGTATATTACGTTAATGAGACAGGTGAGCGCAAGAGATCTATTGACCATGACTTGGGATATAAAGGGGCGGGCAGATTTCCTAAACCTGGCTGCAAGCCCTTTGTGGACAGAGCCATGAGTGACATTACTTTTCAATGTCACATGCCAGTTGAGGATTACGGACTGTCACGTGGGACGATGGAAGGTGCTTCAAATATTCTGATTATTCACACTGCTCAGACTTCCCTTGAACGCTTATGTCTTGGTGGCAGAAAGAAGTCTTTGGACAACATTTGAACCCAAGATTCAGGGCCATTGAGAATCTAGCCATTGAGTTATGCTGTCAGACAACAACTAGTAGTAACTGTGCCACATCCCTAAGAGGACTTCTGTGGACAACGACTAGAAATGTATTTGTGACGTTAAAAACAAACTGGTAAAATGTAATTGACAATGCAATTTAGTTGTATGTGAAGTTTTAGCCAATTTACTACAAATCAACTATACTTAAATGTTTTTTACAAAGCATGTGATTTTTTTGTAGATCATTTCAATGGCATTGCATGGACCCATGCTAGGCAACAACATGGGTCCATGCAATACCCAGGTTGATTCTAAAATGAATGTAAGTCAGTGGTTGTCTAAAGGGATGGAAACACATTAGAAATTCTCAAGCACTATGCTTTGGAAAATGGTTGGCAGTGATGTAAAGTATACAAGCTATAGTAATGAAGGTTAAACAATGCAAAACACATATTCGGTCCTTTAATCTTCAGGTTTTGTTGGCACTGTCATGGAGGTGTTAATCAAATTATGTTTCAGCATTGAGGTCGTAGTGAGCGTGAAAAACACAGTATAACACTTGTGCAACACCCCCTGTAACTATGACCTCATTAACAATAAGTATAATATAAGTATAATTGAACTGAACATTTCCAACAATGTAGACAAAAACTGATCACAGTTTATATGTGTGCATTTTTAAAGACTGACAGTTTTGTGAACATTTAGGTGCTTTACATATACTGCATAATGTGTATTTTCTAAATGAGTAATACCTAGCTGCCATTTCCTGGCACACATGGTCTCCATCATCCAGATTGGCAGCGTTGGCTCAAGCATGGCAATGGCCATGTTTCCAAAACAAATGGCACCTGGAGAGAAAGATTAAGGATAAGTGGACATGGTCTGTTTTTGTTCTTTGTTACCTCTCCAACCTCCACCGCCTGCACGTAGACACACCGCCTGCACTCTTTGGTATGGTGTTGTCACAGTAATTGACATGACGGGAAAAGCTAACTTGCACACAAGTGCAATTTTCCTGCCATATACATTAGCTTACCTGTGAGGACCTTACAGTGACCACATTTATTCGCTAATTCATAGCCATAGCCGGAAAATAAACCTAAAATCTTTGGATTCTGTCCCTCTGGTGATCTAAGACTTTAAGATGGTATGTGTCGCAGGTCATGGATGTAAACCACTGCAGGGAGGCATATTTATTTTGTTCACCTGTGAAATAAGTACGTTTGTTGTCACGTCTGTCATCATTTGTGTGATAAAACATGATGGCACATACATTTAACCTCAAGGAAGTTTTTCTCTGAACTTCTCTCTGTGCTGTATTGTCAAGTTCTTTCCCAATGCAGAAAGCAGATAGATGAGATCATGGGTGGATGAGTCTAATCTTTGATTAAAACTCGAGACCCCCTGAAATGATGGTCAGAGCGGTAGATGCTTTCATGTGTACCATTGCCATTGAGACCGTTGTAGCAGGCTAACTTCCTTATAAACTAAACCGACTTGCAGCAAGTCACTGGGACACTGTGGTGAGGAGTCTTTTGTGCATGATTGATGAGCATCAACAAGAGACAGACAAAAGGAAAAAGCCAGTTAAATGTGGACGATAGGCCAAACTAGTGAGTGTGACACATTGACGTGTTGTCACCATAACAACAAACAACAATCACTATTTTCTTTTAATCTAGTCAGATGACCACGGCAAACAGTTCAATGTGCGTTCTAGCCTTATTATATTTCCATGGTTGTTACTGGGCGTCTGTAGTATTCATGGCATGTCCAATTGACAAAAAACAAGATCTTGGTCAATTTCTCTCCCTGCTCTTTGCCCAGCACCATTATAAAAGACGATATCCCCCTGATGCTTGTCCTAAGGTGATATAGGGTTCCTCACATCTTCTGTGCTTATTTTCTTACCAGCTGCGATTATAATGTATGGATCCTTCATTAGTGTCAACAGCGGGGTCCCCTTCTGACTCTGTGAAGGACAAAGGCACAAAAACATCATTTTATTTGAGATGAATTAAAGCTTATGCCGTAGCTCTAAACCAAACCCACTTGTACAAGACTTAAGATAAGGTTACAAATCTCAGCAGAATCTGCTATTGACCAAGCAGATTCAAATCATTTTATACTTCCTTTATATGTTACGCACTTTGCCAATACACTCCCAGTGAAATAGCACCTTTGAGAACTAATGTAGGAATGGGTTGGCATAGCCTTGACTGAATTCACTAATTGAGAGTATTTGTATGATTACTGTAATATTGCCATTGGAGGCACAAACCATCCAATGACAATATTATTATTTTCCAGTGCGAGTTACCAAACAGATATGACACTGGCTGACAGTACTACCTTTAGGCCTTTTTTCAAAAGATGTGAATGAATAATTGAAACAATAAATTATATAACAGCATCAAAATAAAATTTCAGTCAGTATTCCAATCCTTTCTAACTTACTCATTTCTAAAATCTAAAATAAATCTGAAATTTGTAACATATGAACAGAGAATCTGATTTCCTATTACATACAAGCAGAACAGGTGAGCCCAAAGCTGATCTCAGACTACAGGGGTTCTGAAATCCTAACTGAATTTGAAATTGGGTTGCATCACACACATGAGAAGAATCTTTACAGATGTGCTTCTCTCTAACCTCAAACATGCACACACTACAAGATTTGAAAATAATGCCCGTTCACAAACTACTTAATTATTAAGATTCTTGTGCCAGAGGGAGCTATGCATCAGATCACATGATCTCTCTCACGTGATCTCATGGGGAAGCGGATGAAAACAAAACAGAAACTGAAAGTTGCTGTAGAAATGCTTTGCAGAGGGAAAAAAAGAATAGCAGAAGGCAAAACAAGTCTAGTTGAGAAATGATTGAGACGCACACGTTTTGTATTCTTCTGCAAGAAGTGGAGGTGAGATTTGAACTGTTGGTTTTAATATCTGTCAACAGATTCGGTATGCTTATACAATCAATTTTAACTTTTGATTAAAATGAATTGCATAATTGAAGGTTGGATCCTGACTGTTAAATTGTCCCTGAGTTAATGTCAGGCACTGTAGAGTACCAAGTTAAAGGGTTTTATACAGTAAGTGCAAGCCATGGGTCTTGTTGCATGTCATCCACCTTCTCCGTTTCTCTCCACACTTCCTGTATCCAATTGAAAAATAAAATGTTCTGTAGCTGTAAAGGTTATCTTAATGAAGTAAAATAAAGTTTAGGAAATTAATTATCAAGGCAAACAAACTCACCTCTGGTTCCACCTTGGTGGGCTGAAGAACAATGAGCTGCAGAGCTGTGAAGACACAGTGAATCAACGTAATTGAAAGCCTTTAATATCTACAAGATATCTAAAGGTAGTATTTCAAAAATATATGAAATTATATTCAACAATTACATTTTTCTTTCCATTCTTGCTACAGTGACTATTCTTGGTCTGGATGTAAGAAACAATGTAACTGTACCTCCATCAAACAAAGCCAGGAACGCCAGAATAAGGAAAGGTGCGGTCTTCCCAACAAACTCGTACATCACACTGCCGAATGGGGGTCCAACTGTGGAGGACACACTGGATGGTCAGTTGTGGAAAGATCACCTTTATAATCACTGCAGTAACTGCAGATTTCCTCCTACACAGCTCACATTGCAAGGGTTTCGGGTTAGTTTTGAAAAACATGTGAGTTGATTCAAAATTAGCTATTTGCATGGAACGCAATGTAAAACAATGGAATACAGTACACATCTTCATTTGTGTACCAAAAATGTGGGTTTAATACATTTGTTCTATTAAGCCCCAAACATTTGACCAGCTTAGACAGATCTACAATGTCTAACATTTTGAGTAAAGATTAGAAGCATCTGCATTGTAAATGGACTTGCATTTATAGAGCACCTTTCTAGTCTTCTGACCACTCAAAGCGCTTTACGCTACATAACAACATTCACCCATTCACTCACACATTCATACACTGATGACAGGGGCTGCCATACAACAGGATGTAAACTACCACTTTACCTTTCTGAGCCACAGCCGCCCTATGTATATGCATGTGTATACATACCTAGCACTCCCAATGCCAGACCTCCCAGGGCGATCCCGATAGCATGGCCTCTCTCCTCATCATCGGTGTACACACTCGCAAGCATTCCCATCCCTGAAACAAACAGATGAACAGGTCCTGCATTACAAAACACTTTTTTGTGTATTTTTAGTGATTTTTTGTGTAACAGATGTGTCATTTAACACCACATGATACAGGGCAGCAAATCCTACAAGAGTTACACAATTTGGTGTTCACATGTGTGCTGAGGTAGCTCATGTAATGATGACGATGACTTCATCATTTCTAACTAAGTAGATTAAATTCACTTTGAAAAGAGCTTTCACTTAACCATCAGTTAACCGTCGGAAAAAGCTGTTTGATGGCCAGATATCTAGCGTACACTTTAACTGATATTGCATTTTTTAGGTGTCTTTTGCTGCCCCCCCCGTCCACAGCAGTACATTGCTTTGCTCCAGTTTCGGTACTCTGGTCTGTTAAGCTCTTCAACAATATGGAGTTCGACTCTAGATTGTAACATCATTGCAAGACCTCAATGCACATACTATACTGGCATAATATAAACAATACCTTTCATTCTGGTCCTTTTTAATTACATTAACCAGCTCAGCTGTTAGATGATAGCAATTACTACTTTTTGTTGCTACAATTTATGTTGTGGAAGTTCTGTTTTTGTGATGCTCATGGCCAGTAGATAACACACCGATCCTGTAAATTTCCCTTTTTCACAGTAACGTTTTATAAGGGAATGGCTTTTAAAGATTAATTTTGTTTCAAACTCATTGCTTTTACACTCAGTAATGTACAGTAACTATTTTCTGTACGCTAACAATGTCCCACACAGATGAACTTTTTTCACTGATAGCCGATTAAATACTTCCAGGTTGTGAATAGAATTTACATGCGTGTCATTTTTAGTGCCCCCTCTTTGATTCCTGACCAAGCAAGAGAGCTCTACACCATTGGTTTGTGAGATTTCAGTAGGTTTGCTAGTATAAAGAGCGACAAAGTCTGTGTACATACTTAAGTAATGCCACGCTCATAAATTACCTAACAAACATACTAATTTGAACCCAAACCATGATCTTTTCCTAAATTTAACCATTCGTTTTGTTACCAAAACCTGAAGTTGTTGAGTTTCAATTCACAATGTTCAGTTTCACGTTGACTTTGACAACATGGTAGGTGCGGTTTGGCCAGTCTGAAGCATTATAATTGTAGTGATAATCACTTCTAACATCTATCCAGTTGGCTGATAACATAAATAGGTGCCTAAAGTAGTCCTCTTATATACTGTTGGAGCATCAAAGAAAGCGACTTTCCTCTCTCCTGCAAACATTACACTCTTTCCATAGGATGACACAAGTCTTCACCTCACCTTGCAAAATGATGGCTACAAACAACCAGCATTCATTTAAATTAAGGCTGCATTGGATTTGAGTACCACACAAGAATAGAGAGAAGGCCTCACCAGCCACAGATGAGCAGGAGGAGCCCACACCTTGCATCGATCTGGCCAGAAACAGCAGTGTGTAGCTCGATGAGAAGGCGAACACTTCACAACAGCAAGAACAACAGAAATACAGACAAGAGACATCAGGCATTATGCTAGAATTCTGACTTTCTGATAATTACGACATGTTGCTTGGAACTTACTGATAGTAGATACGAACATGATACAGAAGCCAGCGAATATGGGAAGTTGATATCCTACTCTAAAGGGACAAAAAGAAAAAAGACAGACTACATTTGTACAGTAAGCAGTAATTCATTTGAGATGTCTAGGGAAGGCAAGGCAAGTTTATTTGTATAGCACATTTCAACAACAAGGCAATTCAAAGTGCTTCACATAAAACCATTAAAAGCATCAAAACATAAGGCAAAAGAAAAGGAGATTTAAAAAACATTGAAACATAAGAAACAGTCATTAAAACACAAAAAAACTAAAAATATAGTAATAGTTGCAGTGCAGTTCAGTGTAAGAAAACAATAAAATACAGTGGTAAAATGCAGAAATGCAGGAAATTGATTAATATCCTTGAATCTGGTTCAATTAAAGGCAGCAGCAAACAGAAAATTCTTCAATCTTGATTTAAAGGAGCTGAGGGTCTCAGCAGACCTGCAGCTTTCTGGGACTTTGTTCCAGATATGTGGAGCAGAAAAACTGAACGCTGCTTCTCCATGTTTAGTTCTGACTCTGGGAACAGAAAGCAGACCGGTCCCAGACGACCTAAGGGGCGGGATGGTTCATAAGGTAGCGGCAGATCAGAGATGTGTTTTGGCCCAAAACCATTCAGTGCTTTATAAACCAACAGCAGGATTTTAAAGTCAATTCTTTGTTTGACAGGAAGCCAGTGCAAAGACCTCAGAACTGGAGTGATGTGGTCCACCCTCCTGGTCTTAGTGAGGACTCGAGCTGCAGCGTTCTGAATCAGCTGCAGCTTTCTGTTTGACTTGTTACAGAGACCTGTAAACACACCGTTACAGTAGTCCAGTCCACTGAAGATAAATGCATGGACAAGTTGTTCCTCTAATCCTTGATATATTCTTCAGGTGATAGTAGGTGATTTTGTAATTGTCTTGATGTGGCTGTTCAGGTTGAGATCTGAATCCATAACTACACCTAGATTTCTGGCTATGTTTGTGGTTTCTACACAAATATAGATTAAATGAATGGCTTCATTCAAAGCTGAAATTCTCTTTTCAGCTTATTGTCTCTTTCTAAAGTAGTGACGCCTAAAAAAGTCAATGATTGAAGTTGTGGAGGACTGCTGATTATTTAAATGAATGTGCTTCAGCCTGTGGGGGCTGATATTGCTGTACACCAAGTATACATAAGGTCAGTAACACAACCATGTATTAATACCAAACCATTAATGGTCAAAATAAAGTCCATAGCAAATTAGTGTCAAGTAACGCCATGGACACAAAGCACATTTAGAAGTTTACATGACACATTCTTGCCAGTTACAATTGTTAGCCTGCCATTTTAACCGGAGGAGGATGACAACATCTTCTTTCATTAAAATGCTAAAAGCTGCCAGGCACATCAGAGCTGTTGTATTCCCCCATAGATACCCGACATGCTTGACATGCTTGACTTGCCTTGTATTGTCCTCTGTAAGGAGAAGGTGACTAAGAACCGCTAATATTCCTCGCCTCAATTACAGCATATCTGAGTGCTCATCTGAGACACTAATATTGCTTTTAAGGTGTGTGCCAGTAATGTTGGAGCATCTAGGTTTCTCCATCTCCCCTAAACATTTAAATCTTTAAACTGGCTCTGTGCTGAGAATGTAGGGGCTTAACTTGCAGAAAAAAGAAAAAAAGGAACAAGTATAAGTAAGAATATATATAAATATAGATATATACTTAAATACACAATAACGGTTCCTCCTTGGCTAGAACTAGTTAGTTGTGTTTTTAAAGCAATTGTTGTATCAGAAACCCAACCACCAAATAAATCATGATAGTGCAATGTGTTGGATTTTGCTGCCGACCCAACCCAGCAGAATTACAATGGACCCTATATGTCTTATAGGTCCAAAAGAATCAGCTTTTTACAGTATATTGATTGAACAAAATAAGACTTTTGAACCTACAGTACCGCTGTGATGGCAGCAAGTCGAGTCAATTTAAATTACAGATCACAACAAACGTTATCTTATGACACTTTTCGTATAGCGCAGGTATAGGCCATACTCTTTAGCAGTCCCCAAGCTGCTGGCTGCATTGCTAAAAGCTGCACACCGGAAGTTCATTAACTCAGCATTATTATAATTATTATTATCATTTTTTGGCCATTTGCTGGCAACAAACCAAGCTGTAAATGCAACTTCTGACATATTAGTATAAGGTTGTTAGGACGAACCTTTTAGCAACCAATAAGCTAAGTCCAGTGATGAGTGTCATAGGGATCTAAATGATAAACTGAGTCTAAGGATTTGAGAGAGGAAGCAGCAGCATGTCTGTAGACTACATCACCATAATCTAAGACTAACAGCAAGGGAAGCTCTGTTTGTGTACAACAATATGTTTTTGCTGCAGTTTAGTGATGAGATTTTCAATATGATGTTTAAATGTAAATGAGTCATCAAGCCAAATACCTAGATATTTGTTCTCTGTGACTTTCTCAATATTGCCACCATTCAGTATGGATAGGTGTAGTTTGTTAAAATCAATAATTCATGCAAAATTTGTTTTTCCTGCATTTAGTACCAGGTTAAGTATGACAAGTTAAGATGTAGTTTCTCAACAGCAAGTTGTGCTATTAATCTAAATAATGATATAATGTAAAACGACAAGTCGAATATACTGTAAATGATATGGCAATTTAACAATATAATAATACCGTTAATAATGATTGATAAAATATAATGTATATTTAACTATTAATGCACACTTAATTCTAACATCCATGAACAATCATGCACCTTACTACCATAGCAATATCCACCTGCCTTGTACTAATGGCGTATGTGCAGGCCTACGGCCCTTGGAATCAATCCTGTCCGTCCTCACTCTCTGCCACCTTTCCATCAAGAAAAATAAAAATAAAGTAAAAACTCTGATTGGATAGTTCCAGCTTTGACACACTGATATTTCAGATAGGTAATTCTGAAACCATCTACAAGTGATTGAATCAAACCCAAAATGACAGTGTCTGTAAAAGTAGAAAGCGATTTATTAGTTGAAAAAAAATTTCCTTTTTTTGTTGTTTTATTTTGTGTTACTCACCTCCCTTCTACTTTCAGATACTTCACATCCTGCCTTGTGTGTTTCCCACCTGTGTGATTGTCTACCCCACTCCTGATTGGTTTCACCTGTGCCTGATTTTTGTCACCTCCCCTTACCTTTTTTTTCAGATCTCTGCCTGTTATTCCTGCTTGATCCTCGCTCCACATCTGCCATTCCAGTTTAGAGCCCTGGTTCCGAATTGGGCCCTGGTGCTACTCCCGCTCTGTCACCAATTCAAGTTCCAGCCTCAGTGCCCACAGTCTTTTCTCCGGGCCCCGTTCCTAATCCCTCTATGCCGAAACGGCCCTCCAGAGCATCTGGGAGTTGCTTGTTTTATTTCTAGTACAGTCTAGACGCCAGATACTCTCCGGTTTTCTCTGCCTTTTTTCATAGAGACCTTAGTAAGATCTTTGATTACACAGCTCCCGGTCAGGAGGCAGCCGTAGCTCTCATCGGACTGTGACAAGGGAGATGGCGAGTCGCAAATTAAGCCATTGAGACCTTCCCTCGCACCTTGGGTCCTTCATTGCTCTTGCCATTGAAATTGACATCCACTTGCTGGAAAGAGAAAAGGAGAGAGCCGGAGTGGGTGCTGGTGAGGCAAACCATTTCTTCCACCTACTCCTCTTGTCCTCCCACTCCTGTTCGACTCATCACTACCTCACACCACGGCTTTGGTGGATTCCGGGGCTGACTAGAGTTTTATGGATTGGGGTTTGGCAAAGACACTTGCCCAAGCTGCTGGGGGCTAACAGTCTGGATGGGCAGTTACTGTGAAATATCACCCATCGCACTCAACCCATCAGTCTCATCACTGCAAAACATCACACGGAAGTCCTGAGTTTTCACTTCTTCTCCTCATCCGCTTATTCTCGTTTCCCCTGCCTCAAGAGACACAAGCCACATATGGTCTGGTCCACAGGGGAGGTAAGGGGGTGTGGAGACTGTCTTCCTACCTGCTTTCTTTCAACTTCTGCTAAGGAGCACTCTGAGTCCCCAGATCATCCTGACATCCTGGACTTCTCTGGTGTTCCACCCTGCTACTTCGACATTAGGGAAGTGTTGAGCAAGGCCCACCTCGCCGCCATGATTGTGCCATCAACCTTCTTCCTGGACTTCTCCACCTAGAAGGCGTCTTTACTTCCTGTCAGCTCCGGAAAGATGCTATGCAGAAATATATTGATTCCTCACATGTTGCTGGTATCATTCGCCCTTCCACTTCTCCAACTGGGGCCTTTTCTTCATTGATAAGAAGGATAAGTCGCCCCTCCCTGCATCAACTATCAGGCCTGAATGACATCACTATAAAAAACAGGTACCCTCTCCCTCTTATTTCATCTGCACTTTGAATTATTGCAAGATGCTATGATCTTTCCCAAGTTATACTTAGGAAATGCACATCACTTGGTAAGGATAAGGGAGGGGGACGAATGGAAGACTCCTTTAACACACATTATCTTGCTATGCCATTTGGTCTCACTACGCCCCAGGTGTGTTTCAGGCTCTGGTAAACAACGTTCTCCGTGACATGCTGCATCAGTCAGTCTTTGTGTACCTTGTCAAGTAGAGTTGATATTCTAGAAGAGCTGCCCTAAATAAAAAGGGATGAATACTGGATTAAACAGATTAGGCCAAAGAACACAGAGCTTATATGAGTAATTAAACGGAGAGCTTGTTTATTTTATAGTCCTGTATTGGGGCTTATCTCCCGGATCTAACAACCTGGATGACCTCATCTTTCGCCATATGAGTAGACCCACGTTTAGCATGTTTGTCAAGTCCTGCAGCATCTCCTGCATAACCAACTGTGGTGGCTTGGCGTGGTTGGGCTCAGCTGCAGAGGGGACGGAGTGGGGGGAGTGGTTCAGGGAACAGTGCCGGTTAGAGGCGTAATCAGCCTCAGCTGTAATCAATCTCTGATTGTATCCGTCTCCTATAAAACACCAGTAGGGACGGAGGCGCGGGAGAGGACACAGGCTGGCCTAGCGACAGTGGGAGCGAGAGACAGCTCGACGAAATCGCCGACGGCTGGGCGCTCGAACGCATGGCGGCAGAACGCACGGCCGAGACCGGCTTGAACTGTGGCAAAATAAAATACTTTGAGTTACGCTATATGAGTGTGCTGGCGTCATTGTGACTCGGAAACCCACCGTGGTAACAGGAACGTGTTACACCAACTCTTTCTCAAAGTTGAGAAGTGTGATTTCCACGCCCCATCAGTGAGTTTAGTTCCATTGCTGCTCCTTTTCATTCTCTCACCTCATGTTCCAGTGGTCTTCCAAGATAGATCAGGCTTTTCGCAGGCTGAGGGAGAGTTTCATCTCTGCACACATCGAATCTGGGCTGTTCACTCTCAGTGTTTTGTAACAGATAACAAGGTCCATTGTGTGCGCCTGTCCATGAGGCGCTCCCCTGTTAGATGGAACTATTACGTGGGAAACAGGGAGCTGCTGGTGGTCAAGGTCTCATCAAAGGAGTGTCAACGCTGGCTGGAGGGAGCAGAGCAGCCCCTCTTAGTTTGGAGCAACCATAAAAACTTGGAATACATCTGGCCAGTCAGGCAACTCAATGCCAGGCATGCTGGGCCCTTTCTTTCACCGTTTCATCACAGGGTTACCACCCTCTAAAGGTAACACCTGCCATCCTTATGGTTGTGGACTGATTTTCATCCCGCAACCAAAGTTTCCTACCGCCAAGGAGAGGGCAGAGGTTGTGTAGCTACATGGATTCCCAAGGGATATGGTCTGGGACTGGGGTCCTCAGTTTGGTTTTCCTTGCTACCAGCCTGGGCAGAAGGTTTGGCTGTTCGCTAGGAACCTTCCCATGTGGGTTTGAATCCTGTAAGTTGGCTCCCCGATTTGTGGGTCCATTCCCCATCTCTAAGGTGATCGATCCGGTGGCAGTTCGACTGAGACTCCCTAGATCCTTGAGGTCCTCGGGCTTACATGTAGTCCACGTGGAACTTGCCAAGAAGAGTCCTCTGATCTTTGCCTTCAAACCCCCACTGAATTATTGATGGAGGACCAGTGTATTCGGTCAAACGCATCCTGGCAGTATTTGGTGGACTGGGAGGGGTATGGCCCGGAAGAAGGATCATGGACCTCTGCCAGAAAGGGGGCGGTACTGTCATGTCTCGTCCTGCTCCATGGGTTATGTGTTTCTTTTACTCCAGCATTCAGTTATTTCCTGTTTTAGTTTTTGGTACTGCGTGTTTCCCGCCTGTGTGATTGTCTACCCCGCCCTTATTGCTTTCACCTGTGCCTGAGTTTCCTCACCTCCCCTGTGTATTTAGTCTGTGTTTTCCTGTCCCTGTGCCAGTTTGTCTTTTTCCCCAAAGTCAAGCATTCCAGTAATTCTTTTTTTGCCTTATTACGTGACGGATTTCCTTTGTACCAGACCCGTTTTGGCAAGTAAAAACTGTTTAACTGCACCTAGTTGTGCTTTTGAGTCCTGTTTTTTTCCTGTGGGTTTTTCAGTCGTAACAATAACAGACAATTATTACAATTGACATGTGCAGTTAAAGAATTTGTGTTTTTATTTTTCATAGAATTCCCTGCCTTGCAGAATTTGAGTATGCAAGATGAATTCATTCTAAATAAAGACTTGATTTGGCTTTCCTTGCAGAGGCTGTGCATTTATTTCTCAGTTGCCATCCCATCAGCTGTGTTGGTTGAAATTTGATTACCTTTTCCAGCTATCCATACATGGAAACAGACAAGTGCACATGCGCACACATGCAATCACACATAATCAGGCATTCCGCTGTATTAGGTTTAGTTGGGTTGGATCTGTTGTGGCTGACATGACATGACACCCTAAGAAACAACATGACATTAAACAGATATGTTTACCATAAGCGGAACTGGATTTTCTGCCCTAGAACCTGAAAGGGGACTATGTTACTGCTCTTCGATATGTGTTGAATATGTGTTGTATGTTGAATAACACCATAAATATTATTCGGTCTTGACAGCTTGACAGCTTTCCAAACTTGAGGGGAATTTTTAACCACATATTGGCCCTGGGCTAGCAGCTTAATAAATAATTGATATATAATAATAATACAATAATTTCCTTTTTTTTCTTTTCTCATACATTTCTTGCATTGTGTCAAACAATACACCACCTGGTTTGTATCAAATGTCACATAAGACATGGATTAAATTGAGCTAAACACTAAAGTTGCATACAGTAGTGTAGATACATCGTATACAGTATGTTACAATTGACAATTTCTGAAGTAACTAATAGGAGGGGATGACTTACGAGTCAGTGTATAATTCAGTAACAACAATAAACTAAGTCTAGTCCTATGTTCAAAACAAACCAGAAAGTCAGATTATTTCCAAGGTAAATGCAACTGGCTTTTCAAGCTATCACAATTCAATGAAAATGGTTTCACTCTGTGATCTATCATGTTTTTTGTGACTTAATGACGTAAAAAGCGTAAACAATACTGACTACTAAATTGTATGCTAGAGTAAATGGCATCTAGTGGTTTAAGATAAAAAAATTCATAATCATGGATACCATCTGTTCATTATGTGACAACTACGTGAGTTTAGATTGCTTCTACTCATTCTGTGACATACATTTCCAGGCTGCTATATAACAAAGGCAACAACAATGTTCCAGGTTGTGAAAAACCCTAAAGCAGTTTCCCTCCGGTTGAAAATGCTTCTTAAATAAAGCATCAACACAGAGAGAGACATTAAGACACAAAAACCTACCTGTTTGTGAGTGGCCCTATGAAGGGGTTGGTAATCAGCTGTACGGTGGCCTTGGAGGCAAAAAGCATTCCCACTTTGACATTCTCATCAAGCAGCTTGCTGGTAGACTGGGGGCAGTCTGAGGAGTTGTGTGGTAGCTCTGTAGCAGCGGGAGGCGTAGGGACCATGTCAGTAGTCCTAGCTGTGGTGTTGGAGCCTGAAGACCTTATGGTGTTGTCGTATAAGGACACGATGTTGTGGAAGGCTGCTGGAGGACCCTGCTGCGACAGGGTGTTGTTCTTCAACATCACGTCTGGTGACTCATCCAGGTTGTACAGGTAGCTGGGTATGATGGGAACTAGTGGGCATAAAGAGGCGAGAGGAAATTGATGCAATGAAATTGTACACAATCACTGACTGATGCTCACTAGCATGATGCTAATCCAGATGCCACTGCAAAACATGTCAGCAGAGAACAAGAAAGGTTCTTCGGGGGTGAATCACAAGGACTATCCTAAATAAAGAAAGAAACCTCAATGAAGCCATGATTTGTTTACCTTTTTTAAAATTTAAACAACAGAAAAAAAACAAAGTTAAACCCAACATTTCTCACTGAGCCCTTGTGGTATTTATTCATGCCACCACTCAATACAATGGAAGTGAATGGAATTAATTTGTGGTGCTCAAACTAAATGTTTACATTGGAATGAAACAAAACCAACGTGCTTTTCCAGAAACAATCAACCTTGGTGTTCAGTAATCATAGGAACTGTTGACAGTGAGGTTGTCCAGAGTAGTTCATTGCTGATTTTTATTTTGTCACAAATCTTTTACTGCCACAAAAGATTCCATTCACCTTTACTGTTCTGGGTGTTGGGAGAAGTTTCATAAATTCATGCTGAATTTTGGAGAAATACGTAAAGAACAATGCAGATTACCTGTAGATTATTTCATTTTGATGGAAAGGTGTAGCTATTAAAAACATGCAGCTTTAATTAAGCCTTAGATGGTGCCATTAGGGCTGAACATTTAGTGTCAGCCTAGATCATTTATATATATATATATATATATATATATATATATATATATATATATATACTGTGTGTATACAGGGCATTTTTTAGCGAATTTTATGGCTTTATTGGGGAATTTTAAGCAGAGTGGTGTCAGCAAATAATAGTAGGAAGAAGCTGGGAGCAACATGCAACAACATGTTGTCTTTTGGCTTTTCCTGTTCAGCACCCAAAACCCCAAAGTCACCTTTCAGTAAATATTTGATGTGCTATTCTCCTCAACTGACAAACCTATCAATCACCACTGAGTGTACACTGGGCTCAAACAAATCCTTAAAATACGCCTTGGGCCAATGGTTACTAATACAGCATGTCAAACCTTGAGAATATAATATATATCAGTCGAAGTCGGCATTTAAATAAAGCTGAGTGGAGCGATATAGCACTAGGCGAATGTTAAAGCTGCTTGGGACGGAAAATACAAAGGAAGACGCAAACAACTAACTTTTTTTTAAACAAAAATGTGACAATTTATGAAACTACTGTAGATATTGATGTCCAAATGTCTATGTTCTTGAAACTGGTTATTTTTCCTCACGACAGACATTAAGAGCACAACACTAATGCCACACCCTTTCAGTAAATATTTGATGCACTATTCTCCTCAACTGACAAACACTATCAATCACCACTGAGCAATTACATTGAGCTCAAACAAGTCCTTTAAATACAGTATGTTAAACCTTGAGAATATAAAGTAATAGCCAGACTGTTGACATTTGGTAGTACAAGTAAAGCTACAAACTAATCATCAACACAGTAAAAAAAAATGATTAACATGGAAAACCTTAAATCATTTTTACATTTATTGTTTAAAAGAAAGAAAGAATAAACTGTTAAATAATGAATACATACTTATATATTGAATTTAAAATATGGTCGAGGACTATACATGGCACTGTCATCAATACAATCTCCAAATGAAATAAATGATTGTGATACTGGACATAATATGATCACTGTTTTTGAATACTGCAGGGATAGTTGGGTAAGACTCTAATGGCCGCACTGTACGAACAGATGTAATTTATCTGTCTTCTGGTTATTTTCAATGATTAAATTCAATCAATAATTCTTCAAGTGCCAAGGTCTGCTTCACACCAGTGATGTGCTTTATTTGTCCTTAATTCAGGATCTTGTCTCTATAATAATTCTCCAAATAGATGAAAATGGTTCCATCTATGAGGAAAATATCTGTTTTGCCGATACCTGCAAACAGCTGGAGTTCTGTGCATAACGGAGAAGTGCAGTGAATAGTGCCGTGTTATATAACTATGTTATTCAGCAAAGATGTATCTTATTGTCGAGCACATGTAATACAACTTGTCAAAATGTAGTGAACAACAGTGTACTGTTGTTGCTGGTCTATGCCATTAACTAAACCGAGCCCATTCATTTTCACCTTCAAATCATTTTCATTTTCCCAACAATAATGATGTAAAACTATGTTTTAATGGCATAATCAGCGGAAATGATGACGTGCTTTCTGGGGTAAATTACGAATTAATAGGTATAACAAGGCTGCTGGTTGTGTTAAATACATACTGAAATGATGGGGATGATGATTGATGATACTTTACATACAAGAATAGGTTTTGAAAAAATAACAGCCTGACCATCGATACGCACTGTCATTTATCATAATAGTCTGCTATTGTTACTTTATCAGCGGATGCACAATTCGCTCAGAGAGATTGTATTGGCACACTGAAGGATATTCCCTCTCTGGAGCGTCAGATGGAGACGCTTTAATATTTGAACTGAGCTTAAATCCGATCTGGTAGCTTTCAATGTCAAGCGGATGTTGTTAGATCTTAAAACTCAATCTAATAAATAAATACAAAATATATGTTCCAGTTTAGACGTATACTATTGACCAGATTATACGTTGACAGTTTACTAAATGTGTCACACACGGGTTTTGAGTTCGGTGCGTGGACTGTAGCACTGATAACGATTGACGTTGGTCCACGGAACGCGCTGATCTGTGCGGCAACACGATGCGCTTTTATCGAAAGTCAACTGGGCACATTTGGATAGACTCGGTAAACTGCACTACCTGTTGCGCAAAAAAAAAAAAAAAAAAAACTTTACAGAGATGTAGAGATGTGGTGAAAAAAGCAGGAGTGCACCTACCGACTACAGTCAGCAGCATGTTGTCCAAGAGCAGAGCGACGAAAACAATGAAGAGACTCAGTTTCCTCGACTGTCTCTCCTCTCTAAGCCATTTGATCAAATTAAGCTGCCGAAGCGCATCTAATCTCCCCATGGTGTTAGTCCCGAAAACAGCAAGACAATAGAATGGATCACAAGTCCTCCTGGAGAGACAAGTGGCAGTGATGGGTCAGTAACTTAAACAAATCCTTCCAGTCTACATTAAGCAGTGGATAAGTGAAATATCGAACACAATGCTGCATGTGTGAAACAGTGAGAAATCTTACCTCGGATGCACGGGGGCCAACAGCAGCGGCACGAGCAGAGCTGGGAGGAGGAGATGCTGTCTTTCTACTGACTGGACCCGCTGCTGACGTCAGTCAAGCGTTATTTGTAGGTCCCTGTCAGACCCGCATTCAAACCAGAACTACATTAGATCAGAACAAAACGATGCTGCCGAAACAATAGACAGGATAACAGACACACACAGCGCCTATGATGACGCAAAGATCAATACTGACCTGATGCGACCTTGAATATAGAGCCCAAAGTAATCTTGCTTCAACCTGTTTTCACAGACATCAACCTGTGCTCAGAGGTCATTAGTTCATGATTCACCATCTGTCTGTGGGTCTGGTTTCACACGAGTTCATTAGCATTAAAAAGAGTGCCGAACGTTTATCATCTTGCTTCTTTGCCATTGATGTAACCACAGACAACAATATCATTTTAAAAACCTAAATATAATAACAGACACAATTTATAATTACAATGTTTTGCAGGTTTTTTATTTAAGATTAGGACTATTCATATTTTGGATGACAGGTCTGTATGCTGGATCAAATAAGCCTATAGATTTATATGTTTGTCAATTGAACATAGTTGAAAACTACTGACTGATTGACTTGATTATCTGTGGTCAACTGTATTGTATGGCAACTGAATTAGCACCAAACCAAAAGTAAAGCCATACATATCTGATTCAGGACTTTAACTAAAAGGCTGAATGGGTAGGATTTTCCAAAACGAAAACAATGGTAATTTGTAGACTCATACAAAATCAAACCCTCTTAATCATCACTTAAGACCACTAGATGTGTGTGGAGGTGAGTGTATCTGCAGAGACCCTGACCTCTGGCTGGATTTTGCTGAGTTCGGAACGTTTCTGGGTGTCAACCTCTATAAAAAGGTAGTGACCAGGTGCAAGGTTGTAAGCACGGATCCAAGAAGAAGCTACAAAATGGTACAAAATACACCGCCGGAAAAATGCAAATAAAGTGAGGCTTAACGCCAGTCGGACAGAGCTGTTCCACAACAAGAGTGAATCTGGGGCTGTCTTTCACCCGCTGCTGGGCACCCTACTAATGGGCCTATATACGGCTTACTGCCTCTACGGCCTTACTGCCTGCTATCTAATTTAGCTGAACTGTTGAGGCATTACTACTCGATGTTGCCGCTGTGCTGCTACTACCAGCCCTTTCTCTCTCCATGGAGACAGAAAAAGGTTAGCGAGCCTGTTTTCTATTAATTTAATGGAGCCGTGCAAGTCACTGCCTTTTCCACAACACTGTCCTGCAAATATTTCAGAATAAAATTGTGTTAACAACTGAAGGCTCTCCACCTTTATTTTGAAACAATAGTTTTGCTGTTAACCACGCGGTACGCAGAAAAGAGACCTTGAATCTTTAGAAGAGGCGCAGCCGACACACTGCCGAGCCTAGCTGTCGCGCAGGTTACTCCTAATTTTTTGTGCGTTTACCCACGAAAGTCCAGCAACACGTGTCAATGTCCGCTCGTTACATGCATACAGTCTTTTCAAAATAAACTTCCGTCTTAACAGGAAATAACTCTAAGGTTAAGGCAACACAACTACTTAGGTTTAGGAAAAAATAGTGATTTGAGTTAAAATAACCAATAAGTACAGTTATTAAAGTACACAAGTTAAATGACAAATAAATCCACTTTGACTTGTAGTTTTATTTTTAGTGATTATTGATCATCAAACAAAGAAACTTAAAATATATTAAAGCACGGACAGAACCAATACACAGGTTATAATACACACCTAGTTTATTCATTCAAAATTGTTGATGTTGTTTAGACAAAAAATAGTAAATTTCTTCTTTGTTCTTCTATTTGTTGACAAATACATCCAAATACACCCCCTGCATCCCTTTAATATTTGCAGCATATTTGTGTCTGTTGTATATATTGCATTTTTTTATATCTTGTTATGTATGTTGAGCAGAGTACTCAACAAAGCATTTCACGGCACAATGTATGTATGCCTATGTGACTAATAAAGCTGGACCTGCTTAGACGTTCATTGTTCTGAAGGTTTGATAACCTACCATATGGGGACATCTGCTGGGAAACCTTTGGTATGGCACTCGTATGGGAGGAAACGGAGTCAGATTATCAGAGGTCTCACTGTCATCCGTCCATACATCTTACATTAACGCACATCTTTTTTGACTATTCATTGCATGTTCTGTTTATTCTTAATACTGGGAACCTTTGCTCATCCCATAGAATATAGTTTTGCATTCCAGCCTAGCTCTTTCATTTTAAACAGTTACATTGGGCATATTTAAGTAGTATTTTTTAATATTTCTATTGTACTTTCATTCTATATTTTCTTGTCTAGCAATACACCAAAGCAAGTTATTGTATGTGAAAACGTACTTGGTAGTAAACCTGATTCTGATTCTATAGCCACAAGATTTATTCCAACCTGACTGTTTCTTTGGTGTTTGTGATTCCAGTAGGCTTTTAGTTAATCAGTCAGAATTAGCTTTATTGACCATGGCCATATATGTGTACGCATACAAGGAATTTGACTCCGGTTTTCACTTTGCTCACAATGTGCATACACAAATTTACAAATAAACAAGAAACATGTGAAAAATAAAACAAGGACAACAAAAAAAGTATAACAGATGTAAGTATAAACATTTAACAACTATGTACAATATATATATAAATATATATCCAAAAGTATATATATATATGAACATAAACCTATACAACAACAATGGCAATGGAATGGAGGTGATAGTGCAAATGGTGGTAATAGTGCAGTATGACTGATTAATTGTTCATCAGAGTGACGGCCAGTGGAAAGAAGCTGTTCTGGTGGTTTTGGTGTACAGTGCTCTGTAGCGCCTACCAGAGGGGAGGAGTTGAACAGGTTGTGTCCAGGGTGTGAGGGGTCTGCAGTGATCTTTCCTGCTCGTTTCCTGACTCTGGAGGTGTACAAGTCCAGGATGGAGGGCAGGCTGGAACCAATGATTCTCTCTGCAGACCTGACATTCCGTTGTTTAGTGGCCGATCCAAACCACACATTAATGGAAGAACAGAGAGCAGACTGGATGATGGTGGAGTAAAACAGAATCAGCAGCTCCTGAGGCAGGTTGTACTTCCTGAGCTGGTGCAGGAAGGGCAAAATTTCCCCAAAACACTAATATAGCAAAAAATGGACAAAACTTCAGCAAGAGCAACTAACTGATGAACAGACATGCAATAGATGTTGTGTGAACAGAATAACCAACAGAATAAAAAAATATATAAATATATAGATATAAAGAAAATGGATCCTGGAGGATGTAAAACAGCCAGAGCCTGAGCCACACGACCTCCTCTCCACCATGGAACCTGGAAAGAGGACAGGCTACATAAACACACAAGAAGACGATCAGACAGGTAGGCTTTAAGTCTTGAGTAACCAGGAAGTAATGTGTTTGACTGAGGTCAAAGAGTTGTTTGTACATGTACTCATAACTTCTGTCAAGTTTCCTTTCAAATTGACAGAAAAAAGCGAAAAGATCAATTGCATTTTTACATCCACTATTTTACAATTATTATGAGTTAGGCACATCATGACAAACTCAAGCGATGGAAAACCAAGTGCACATCTGTTTTTATGTATCAATGTGAGGAAGATTACAGTCTCCTCATTGCTGCACACAAATGTGATGTTTTATTTTCTCAGTGGAACAGAAGCTTGAGAGATGTTTTAATCACATGCTTCATGCAGGTTATGATTTATTCACTAATCTATTAACTAAACCGGCTCCATTGCACTTTGTCATATTTAGTTTTTATCCAGACATCAGCTTTTCCTCCTCAGCCAATTGGAAACTAGTTTTTGCAATATTTTGACTATTTGCACATTTCTGGCATTCCCACTTATATTTTCTCTAATTCACTTGGTGACACATATTGCCTTAATACTTCTGCTTTGAAAGGTTAATTCTGAGGTTGATAAACATTGGGGAAAAATGCAGAACTGGGTCATAATTCTCACAACACATTACATGTAGTCATTTGAGCCATTGCACTGATATCGATTAGAGCAGCTTTAAGGTAGCCAAGCGTACTTCCCCTGTAAGCTTTCAAAATAAAGGAAAATGAATGCACACAATTGAATTGATTTAAGGGACACCAAGGGGTTTGGGTATAGATTGAGAGATGATCTCTGTATCCCACTCTTTTTGTTTACCATCGGGGTCATAGGATATAGGTTCAAAGGAAAAATGAAATTGCAAGTTTTGTGGCTGAAAGTATCCGTCTTTGAAGGAGGCATATTGGCTCTTAGTGCCTTAGAAAATTAAAACAATTATCACACAGAAAAAAGGCAACAAAGCACAGCATAATATTCAGGCCAAAAAAACTGCAAATAGTTTCAGCTTTACGATTTTGCTGTCATAAATGACATTTTTATCTAATTACATGTGCTTGATTTGATGAGTTACCTGAATAACATGTTTTTTTATTACTTCACCCTGAAAGCTTGAAGAGGTTGAGAGAAAGAAAGAGAAATCTTCCTTCCTTCCAAACAGTGGGCAGCTGGTAAACTGCTAAAAGGAGAACCGTCTCCCTCTCTCACCTCCTCATTATTCTACAGCAGCACCATCTTGTGCTCTAGTAACACTACTACCACAGGGTTTCCACTGATGTAGTGCAGAAACACTCACATGATGTTGTGGAATTCATAAGACATAAATGCTATAACTTGTTAAAATGTAGTAAAGTGTGCCTCTAAATAAAAACATGTTGAATATAACATGGCAATGTCAACAATTACAATTCAATCACTCATTCCTTCCAAAGGAGTGTGAATTGCTTTAAAAAAATGATAACACAACAATTGTGACTAATGGCTTTATTATATTGATATTAAGGTGGAGGAACCAAGTGCATTAACTCAAGTACTGTACAAGGTTTGTAGGGTACTTTACGCTTTATTTTTGAATACTTCTTACTTATTTTCTATACTATATATTTAACTTATGGCTATTTGTAGTGACTTTACGATTTTACAGCACAACTCCAAAACCTAAATCATACATCATTTCCATTTATTTATATTTGTACTTATCTTAACTTAAGAAAATTACACAGAGAATGACTGGAGATAACGGAAATAAGACTGAATTTAAAACTATAAAAATTTTCAAAAATCATTACATTTTCAAATCTCGAGGTCCATGGGGTTTAATAAAGTTAAAATTTGATCATATAATTATATTTTATTTATATATCTCCAAAGGTATTAAAGCAATAAAAGTGGTATATTTGGAGTGTGTGAAATACATGGATCAATTTTATCACCTTCTGCTGTATTTTGCTGAAAATTCAGTAAAAACATGGTCATGTATATGTTCTTTCTCGGGTAGGGGCATCTGAAAAACCAAAGCCCTTTTGAGTATTTGTGCTACAGGGCCGGCCTGAGTCATTAGCAAACTAAGCAGCTGCTTAGGGCCCCGCGGCGACCAGAGGGCCCCCAAGATTGCCACACAAGTGGTGTAGGTCCCCCACAAATCATGCAAGGGAGTCACAGCGGGAGTCAATGTTCACAACTTTGATGAGAGGATGTGATCAAAGTGTAATGAATCACCATGAGAGTGAATTGCAGGCACAGCAATCAAGTAATCTTGTTTTCTCTTCCAGGGCTGAAAAACGGTGTATTACATTTGATAAACGCCAACCGATACCAGTGTTTGGGAACTGCAGCTCAGAAAAGATAGCAACACAAAATTAAACTCCAGCAGCACCCTCTGTGGGGACCAGCCCAGAAAATGTATGTGTGTGATGGCCATCCTTAAAAGCGCACATCATTTCAAACGATTATTTTTTAGTCTCTCAGTCCAGGTTACAACTCTGGACTCATGCAAGATGGAAAGCAATGGATTGACAGCTAAAATGTTGATTTTCTGGGCATACTGCAGGATGGATACATGCACATCCCTTAATAAAGAATAACCATAAAGTCGCCTATTCAGCCAAGCCATACTATAAATAGTCCAATGTACTGTATAAAAGGAAATCTGGGGGAGCCAGTTTGAATGGGCCTGATGCAGCTGATAAAAGTCAAAATAGTATTATTTATAATTTACAGGTTCTATGGTTAAGTTTGTCAGCAGAGGAGATGCTGGATGATCAGACAGTACAAGCACAGACTGAGTTGATCCACATCCAGCAGAGCCAAAGCTCAGTGTTACATTTTTATTATTTACTACATTTTATATTTTGAAAATGTCCTATTGTTAATGCTAATATTCACTCATCTTAAGACTCTGTAGAAAACATTCTATTCAATAAGTGTTTGTTTATGACTCATTCTGCTACTGCTGATCACCTTTTGGCCGCTGCTCTGCGGCTCACTTTTGTTTTGTTGGGACGGATTGTTAAGCTAACAGCTAACAGAACTACAAGTGCACTCACTGCGGCAATACATTGTTGGTTTGTTCTAAATGTTCTCATCCCACTAACTCTTTATTAATCCTTGTTAATTATTCAGTCACTTCATGCGAGTCCCCTCAGATTAAAGCCTGTAAATGGGTGTTATGCTGGTGTGCCATGACAGGGATTGTCCATGATTTTAAACATGGTCGGAACCTACTTTTTATTCTTTATCCAAAACATCCAGGCTAAATGTCATATTATACCAGCATATGCTATAATGTATGGTAAATTATATGATTTAGATTAGTCATGAGTTGATTTAGAGGATAATAAATGCATTTTGAAAATAACATTAAAATTTCTGTTCAGCGTTTGTTACCACCCGTGACAGCAATGCTGGTTTTGTTTTACCTTGTGAGTTTAGCCCTTTTGCACCGTTATTCCCCCTTGTTGTTCTGTATTAAGGTACAGAGGGTGAATGAAGAGCCGATGTCTGTGTGAAAAGGGACACCCGGAGCAGAAGAATGCCGACTGTTGTGTTAAATGTCACCCTTTTTTTGCTCCTGCTATCCTAGTGACACCTGCTGCACCAGGAACTACCACAGAGGAGGTTTTGAGTACTCTGCAGGGTCTTTATATTTCTGTCTGTCTGTGGACAGATTTTGTCGCAACCGTAAAAGATGTAGTCACAAAACTTTACAGGTCTGCTGAGATCAAAATGAAAGTAGAGTTCAAAGATGGGTGTAGGGCGCGTTAGTAGTGGGGTAGGAAGTGGGGAAGGGGCCATTGGCCCCCCACTTCACACCCTTTGGAGTCGCTGCTGGTGGGATCCCATCACAAGATGGTTTCTAGCTGTGATTCTGACAGCATTGTTATCCATTTGACCTGTTGGCAGAGTTGAAACAATGAAATAGAAAATGTCTGTTGATCACTGTCTCTATGGCTGAGTTAATCAGAAACTTTCAGAGCACCTCGGTGGGCCCCTGAACTTACTTTCTAATCTAATTCTTTTTTCTGTAACAGAAATATTAATAACTAAATAAGCAAAACATAATTAAACATTGGTCAAAATTTTATTACAGTTCTTTGTCGACTCTTATCAAGAGTCAATACAATGCTGTTAACACCTTTTGACACAATATCACATTTTTCCAACCAAGCCCCGCCCACTTCAAATCATTAAGAAGAGCACAGAGAAAAACACTAAATACTGAAAATCTTTCTTTTAAAGTAATGAAAACTTGTTCCAATCCCACAGAAAATGTTGTGATAAATTAAGACTCTCCCTCAGAAGTGGAAGGTTTTCAGGTTTTCAGCGTCCCCGATCCGAGTCTTGCGGAGGATCTCTGCAGCATGTCAGTCATATCTATCTGGCCTCATATCCTCTCATCTTTCCACAGTCACTTTGTAATAAAGCCATATAATGTCAAAGAAAGACAGATTCAAGAGCCCAGCTGGTCAAACCTGTTTTCTCTGTAGGCCTGCATTGTCCATTGATTCAAAATTGTCCATCAATAAAATATCTGTAATCTGGTTTTTAATGTCATCAGGTGAAGAGGGGCATGCTTTCTGATACATATTAACACCAAATGATGGTTGTTCATGCATCAAACTAAAACAACTGTGTACAAGTGTACCATGTCAGATTCAGCAAACGCTCCTAACTTCAGATAACTCCGTAAACGACCAGCATGGACATGATGAATGCAACTTGTGCATTGATGAATGCTTGTTAATGAGAAATGTAAAGCGGCATAACTAACCCCCCAATAATGTGACTGATATCTTGTGATCTGTAGTAATCTAACATGCAGGGCAGGGGAGGGGAGGGGGGGGTTATCATGAGTAGTGCTGCGAGTAAAACCATGAAACTCCTTTGGGCAGTTGCTGGAATACAAGAGGCAATCAGGAACATGCTTTAGTGGCAGAAGTCTGCACACTAACTTGAAAGCTAAACTACACAGTATGATGATGATGCATATGGTGATGATTTAAAAAGATAAAACTGAGAGGAAGTTACAGGATGTAATGGGATCAGAGAAGGCCACATCATCCATCCATCGATTGTGCACCCTTTTCCATTATGTACATTAGTCCACCATTTTATGTCATTTTGCTATTGCAAGTGGTTAAACTCATATGTTGTGGTTATTATTTAACTTGGGTTTAAGTGTCTTGACCAAGACAGTTCAAAATGGACTGGAGGAGCCCGGGATTGAATTGCAGCTCTTCTGATTAGAAAACGACCCACTCCACCTCTGATACATACATACATACATGATATATATATATATATATATAAAATAATAACAATTCTACAATGCAAAATAAAGTGCAAAACCCCTGCAGAATATATCATATTAATTAATAGTTTGAGTGTGCCATGTCAGATTCAGCAAACGCTCCTAACTCTGTAAATGACCAGCGCAAACATGATGAATGTCACTGAGCATAAATGAATGTGTGTGTTGCCCCATATGTCAGGAAGGGTTTGTGTAGCCTACCCTTAAGCCGTGCATTTTATTGTTTTAAAGCCCAAATTAAAATGGATCTTCTTTAGTGTCACTGTTTACAATACGTATTTTGTGTTCTGCAGTTCGTTGACTATTACCTAAAGCACACTTTTAGACCTCGTTCTACATATGTTTTGGGTTTTCCAAATTATAACGAGTGCCAGCCAGTGACAAAGTGCAGAAATATAAATAGAAAGACTATTTGTCTGCCCTCTGTAGTCCTGTACGGCAGAACAATTGCCAGAATATCAAATAGTACTAATACTCATTCCATGGCAAGATACTGTAACTCATTCTGAATATCACTCTCCTTCACTGGGCAAATGCGTTTCGCACATGCACACTTTTTATTTAGCTTATAACTGTACAGAAAGCACAAATAACACTTGAAAAGTTCCCACACATCCCTGCTTTGAAAATGTGTCAAAACCAGCTTATACAACTCTTAGACATGAGACAGAGAATCTCTTGGTTACTTAGTCATTCTTTTAATTTTTTGAAAGTCTCCGTATTTCCCCTGCTGATGAATTTGATGCATTGGCGGTAGCAGCTTACAATCCGTGTTTGCCCTAGCTTGAAAGACATGGTCATGATGGCCATGCCGACAATAATGAAGAGTGAGGTAAGCATGAAGTACTTAGGGTGATTTGGCACAATATCGCCAAAACCGATAGTAGTGAGTGTAATAAAGCAGAAGTAGTAGGGGTCAAAGCCCTTCAATTCATTTTCCCACAATGGCAAAATGAAACCGCCAAAAGAAATGTAGGCAATCATGATGAAAAGAATCAGTACAAAGGGTACATCCAGCATTTCCATTCCATCCCCTAACCCTGTGAAGTCCCAAATGGCAAATCCTTTGGGTGGTAGTGGCAGCCGGTCTAGCTCTGGGCAGGAGAGGGTCCTGAGCAGTGGGCTCTTTCTAAGTAAATTCTCCCTGGCGAGAATCTTCTCAAAGATCTCTTTGTTGTTTTGGAGTTGGATGGACTTTTGCCGTACATCTGCTTGGCTGTGAAGTACCTGCCGGATATCGAGGGGCGCATGGATCACAACGTCATGGCTGTAAAAAAAGGTACCATCCTCCAGGGCCTGGTTGCTTGAGTCCCTTGCTGTCCTCTGAGCCTTCCATGGTGACCAGGTGTGGGAGCGGAGGATTTTGCAGAGGGTGTGAATGCGCATGTAGGCCCTGGACATCAGCATAGCAAGGAAGTCTCCCACATCGAGGATGACCAAAAGCATGAGAGGGATGCCCACCATGGCATACAAGACACACACCACCTTACCAGTCAAGGTAACGGGATAGATCTCCCCATACCCTGCAACAACAATAGAGAAAATGGGCACTTTAGTACTTTGAAACAGGGGCAAAAGGATCTGTGGATTAGCTCAAGTAGTGGTAAAAGGAAAATCATGGACATAATGTACACTAAATGTGTACTTCTAAAACCAAATATCATATTTAAGGTTTTGATTAATGGACCTAGAAATATAAAACCATGCCCTTAATATATTTAATATGTTGTAATTCCATTTAAAATCACCATTTTGTTGAAATAGTCTTTTTTTCATCATGTGTGGTCTGTAGATCAAGAGTTTACGTATACAACTTTGGATGCTAAAGGCTGTATATTAAGAAGTGGACAAAGTCCCAGTGACGTCGCCCATTAGTTTGTGGACTTTAGTTTTGAAGCCTCAAGTTTGACATTTTGTCCGTTGGACTTGAGTGGATGAAGTACAAACAAACTCTGAACAAGACATTTTTAGGCTAAAAGGTTACAATTAACTTTGTATGAACTGAAAACACACTGTGAAAGGGTTAAAGTTCCAAGACGAAAACACAGACAACTTTCAGACCAGACAAAGCCATTGTGACGAGCTGTCAATCACAAGGTAACCATGGCCTAAACAAGCATACCTTGCTTTATTGTCTATTTAATCTAAATGGACCATAATTGACTAATTGAACATCATGTTGTATTGAATAAGACATGAAACTAGAAATTAAGACCATAAACTCTGTTTACAATGTTTACTGGGGTAAAAAATCAAGTGAGAAGTAGATTCATTTTCTCATAGACTTCTATACAATCCGACTTCTTTTTGAAACAAGAGTCGCCGCCCCCTGCTGGCCATATGAAAGAATGTATGTGTAATGCACTTTCGCATTGGCTTCACCTTTTAGACCCGGAGGTTGCAGGCTGGTTAAAGTTCAAATATTCAGTACAATCTAAATAGCATTTTGTCAATCTATTATCAATCTACAAGCACAAATAATGTTTGTTTGTCTGTTAAGTATATAATTCTTCCAAACATGGTTGAGGGCGTAACTGCAATGGGCCCCCTTACCACCAGAGGGCCCCATCCAAGCCTGGAGAGGACGGCCCAGAGTGACTGGAGACTGAGTACCTCAGTAGTGGGTGAAGGTCCAGGACTGGGGTGAAGTGTCCACTCGTATAGTAGGTATCCGCCTCTCGACATGAGGTCGGCACAGGTTAGACTTATTAGACAGGTTCTCGAAAGCCCACAGCCACATGTCTTCCAAAGTATTCAACAGGGCAATGGACCGAACTCCACCCTGCCTGTACGCTTTACACTCACACACAAATTCATATTAAAACCATGTTCTTTTCTTTGGTGAGACAGGTTAGGGAACATATTAACAGCAGAGTTTCCATTGGTAAGTTTACTTGAACCAGGTATAGGCCACAGTGATATTGGTAGGACAATTGAGTGGGCCATGGCATGCAAATGAAACTGCCATCAAACACAGAAGTTTAGTGTAAGCAGATATAATGTAGATATAAGGCAGGTTGAAGCTGCAGAGTATCTGCTCTTTGCTTGGGTGAGAGTAGGATGGCAGGTTAAAGGCAGGTTAGTCCAGGGTTAGAGAATGTTGTTGCCTGTTAGAGGTCTCACAAGATGTATTATGTCTCAGCCTGATAACCCTGCATGGCCTAATGATGCATGCCATTTAGGTCTTAAAATACACACCTTGCAATCAATCAAGAAATGCTACTTTTTCAAAAAAATGAACATTCATACAATGACACAATGTAAGACAACAATGGAACTATTGGAGCCTTATCTTAAACCCTAAATATGCGGGCAATGAAGAGATGGATAACGTTCCCAAATAACAGGACAACACAGAAGACAATTCCCCTCTAACCTCTAACAACCTCTAATAAGCTTTTTGTGGTGATGCAAAAAGCATTCTCCTCTGAGAGTGCCCTCTCTCCAGTGAGTTGTGGGCTTCCTAAAGCCACTCGGCCATTAGTTGGCTTCCCTTCACCACTTATCGTGTATCTGAAAGTAACAGACAAACTAATGTATCTTCACAAGGTTCTTACGCATCAAACTTCTCATGAAAAAAGATAGCTCCAGAAAGATAATAATTGAGTTAACAAATTATATTAAACATAAGGAAGACAATTTACAAATGGATCAGTAATAACTGAAACTAATATTAGCAAAAGGAAACTATTAAACATCTTAAGATACATTAATACATACGCTAATGGTGGTTCCAAGCTAATACAACAGCCTGTCTGTGAGGCTGCACTTAAACACAGTGGGATCTTGAGCTAAATACTATCATGCTGATGTTTGCGTTACGTTCATCTTGAGGGGGACATGAATATCTGTACACAATTTCCTGACAATCCATCAAACATTTGTTGAGAGATTTCAGTCTAAACCAAAGAAGGTCAACCAACTGACTGGGTCGAACTGCGACCATATTTTGTTGTTCGGGACATTTCTGGGCTTGCTATTGGGAATTGAAACAGGTGTGAACTCTTTAGACACAGACAGGCATAGAGAGAGCAGGCATGTGGATGTGTTTCTTTGTGCTTTAGAACGTAACTGTCGTGAAATAATCCGAAAATAACGTTTTGTTCTTCTGATTCCCAGCTTTGTTTCTCACTAACGTCGGCCCATCTAGTCATTCACTATCTACCACGCTCGGCCACATCTGAGCTCTCTCTATTTCTCTCCATTGCTCGTTGAGCCGGAGAGGACGAGCAAACCAGCAACCAACAATGGGCCAAATGCAAGAACATTTTCGTATTTTTATCTTAGCTTTCTTTTACTCAGTGGCAGGCCGTCAGGGCCAGCTAAGCCTTCTCTGCTGGCCGAAACAGAATCACAAAGTTATAGCTATTTTATAATTTAATAATTGTTCACAAATACACTACATGTGTTCGAATTTTTTTCCCCATTAGCTTATTTTTTCATTGCACAGCTCCTGTCTTCCTCAGTTGCTCTGCTTCCAGCCTGCAACGCTGCTTCCAGTGCAGCTTGTTTTAAGGAGAGCTTTTATCCAATCAGCCCCTATGTCTCTATGTAAGGAGAGAGGCCCGATGCCCTCTAGAAAGCCTTTGCAGTTTCAGTAAATGGGGACAATATTGTTGATTGTCATATTCAACCAATCAGATCTTTAGTTTGACATGTTGGGCGTATTCTTTGACGTGCCAGTGGTACTCGGGTAGCCTGCTAAGTACGTCAGGATTAACGTGCGCCGTGATTGGTCAGTGGGCCAGCGTGACTTTTGTCAAACAGAAAGCTAGCTAGCAGATCTTAGTGTTTAGTAAGAGTTCAGGTTGAAACATATGTAAGAGAGGTTATGACATTTTTAACGTTTTGCTTGGTGTAGATTCTTCTTCTTTTTTTACCTAGCTTTGTTTTTTTTTTTTTGGGTGTTACTGACTTTGTTAACAAAGAAAGGAGGATGGACTTTGTCTTTAAGTGAAGGCAGCTTTGGTAAGTGAACTGCTTTCGTTTTTTTTACATCTGCAGTAGCGCTACTACTGTGTTCATTTGTCTATTGTGCCGTTTTATGAATAAAATGAATGCTCGTGCTCTAGCGCTGCAGTGTTGCTGGGTTTATTTGTTGCTTTGTCGTCATATAAATATATGTGACTGGTTCTTGTGAGTTTGTCTTGTCATTGTGTTAATTACATTGAATCTGACTTGTCCGTTAATAATGAAGCATCCCGTCATCGCAGGGTTAGGGTCGGACATTTGATTCTCCGTTTGGGCTGTTGTTTTCTTTTACAAAGCAAGAATGATAGTCTGGAGAAATGGGGATTGTGTGGCGATTGCTTTAGCCCTGGTTGAATCAGTAGCTGCTGTTGTTTCCCCGCTAAGCTAGTTTAGCTTAGCCTCCCTGAAGACACGTGCGGTGCTTCAGCTGTTTTTTGTTATTGTTCCGGGTTCAAAAGATCACACAGCCCGTTGTCTTCTACGTGAGCGCAGTCCACCGAAAACATTATATTTCCCACAATTTAAGCTTCTGCATTTTCCAAATGTACTAGTATTATTCAAACGTATTCGGTTTGTAAGCCTCGTACCGAACGGTTTAATATGAATATGTGTATTGTTACACCCCAAGAAACAAATAATAACCGTAGCTTGCGCGTCATAATGAGATTATGACGCGCAAGTGTAGTTCAAGTGTAGTAGGACAGCTCAGAAGGCCCAGGTATAAAATGCACGGCCCGCCACTGCTTTTACTTATGCTGTTGTATGATTTTTTACTCCCTGATCTGAACATCTTCCAGGTTTTTGCCTCACGAGATGAGAGTTATTTGTCAAATAATCTATTTTCTCGTTTTTGTCAAAACAGCTTTAATAAAAAAAATGAAAAGGAATGGTGAACGAATAAACCAGCTGTATATTATAATCTCTGCTTTCATGTGCTTTTATGTTACATCTTTAATCCTTAATGTTGTTGTGTAAATATAATATGACAGGCAAACACCCATGTGCCGTCCTCTTTGTTTACCTTTTTGTCCTTACGTCTCTGACTTTCACTGGTAAACCCGTGTTTGATGGCACATTGCTATGAATTGTGGGTAATTCCCTCAGACAAAGTCTGCAGAAATGCAGTCTTACGGTAAGGGTTCATAAAGGGCTCAAAATGTCTGCGAGAGACTCAAACACTCGATGATTTGACAAGTGGGACAGCCCTAAACCCTCACAAACTTTGTGGGAATGCACAAAGTTCAGCATCAAAGTGCGTGAGTCTGTGAGTGTGGAGATTGGGATTGGGCCAATCACTGGTAGTTGATCGATAATCAAGGCTGCTGTTGCTTGTTTTCTACCGGTGGCGTGACCACCTTCTTCTGATAACTGTGAAAGGGGCGGGGCATTGGGCCCACAGAGACTAACATGCAGGAACCATACACCTTGTCAGTCCTCAGATACTCCAACCTTTCAAAAACAGCTGCCACTTGATAATGAGACACACCAGACCTCTCAGGAAAAAAAGGAAGCCATAATCATTTTCAAGGTTATCAGCTTGTTAGTTTGTCAT